TATGGTGACGATATTGAGTGCTTTTCATCGAATTTCTTTGCTGGAATACCATCAAATCAAAATGATACCCTGATTATCTCATGTTGATCAGGAATTGTAATTGGCCCTTAAATGTTGGGATTATAGGTATGAGCCACTGCACCTGGGTTCCTTAGGTATTGTTGAATAAAAACAGGGACAAGTGAACTATTTAGTAAGTTCATTTTGTTTAGTTGGAAACAAAAATCTGATCAGAACATGAGGTACCTGAGGGAAAAATATTTTTAGGACAGAACTACCTGGACAAGCACTCGCCTGTAACATCAAAGGAATTTAACCTACCTATGTGTTTGAGATGGAGCAGGTGTGTTATTATTAACAAAAATAATAGATATTTTTGTTAAGGCCTGTGGGCGCCCTGAGCGTGAAAATAAAGGAAAAACCTTGAATTCCTTTGAGGGAATTTCTGGGGTAGTCCTGAGAAGTAAACAAGCAACTTGATAAGCAAGAAGGTAATAGTAGCTTAAAACAATTGCCAAGGAAGTTAAGAGTTGAGATGCTTGGTTCCCTATAGAAACTAAAGATAACATCTTAAAATATGTCCCTGAGTTGTTTTCAGAAACTCACATCCCCACCAAGTGTATTTGCTGGCATGTAGACTGATAAGTCAGGACTCAGGACAACTTGGGACTGCTGTTCTTTGTTCTAAATTTCTCCTTAAGGGGCCTGGAGGAGGTCATGCCCATGAGTTGGAGCTAACATTCTAACTCAGAGTTTTAGACAAAGCTCCTCCTTAGCCAATTGCAAATCAGAAAATTTTTGAATGCACCTATGGCCTATAGGTCTCTGCTTCAAGATGTCCCATCTTTGAGATCAAACCAATGTATAGCCACCATGTATTGGTTTATAACTTTGGCTGTAACCTCTGCCTCTCCAAGACCTTTGTGGTTTTTTGGGGGGTTTTCTTGTTTTTGTTTTTTGAGACAGGGTCTTGTTACCCAAGCTGGAGTGCAGTAGTGCAGTCAGCTGCTCATTGCAGCCTCAACCTCCTGGGTTCAAGTAATCCGTCTGCCTCAGCCTCTCAAATAGCTGGGACTATAGGTATATACCCCTACATCTGTCTAATTTTAAAAAATTTTTTGTAGAGTCAGGGTCTCACTATGTTGGCCAGGCTGGTCTCAAACCAGCTCAAGGGATACTCTCACCTTGGCCTTCCAAAGTGCAAGAATTACAGGTGGGAACCACTGTACCTGGCCTTGCCTCCCCACCTTTAAAAACCTTACCTATAAGCCACTGGGGAATTGGAGTTCTTGCTCGATGCCCTACAGTAGCGAATGCCTCACTTTCTCTTGGTGCAATCCCAGCGTCAGTGCTTGGCCTTGCTGTGCCAGGTGAGGAGACCCCAGTTTGGTTTGATAGTGTGTACTTTGTAAGACCAAATCTAACACTAGAACTTTAGATTTATTCTATGTTATCAATATTCTCTCTTCCACCAATACTCAACTCGGATAAATTTTATGTAAAACTCACCAAAATCGTGGAACATTGACTCTGAATTCCCTAAAAGACTAAGAGATTCACAGGAGATAGAATTGAATGCATTACTTAACAGGAGGAAGCCATCTTGGTTAAAGAGACTAGTCTGATAAAATAGAAAATTTGCCTAAGATGATTTTTGTATATATCATTTGAAATAAAAATTAATTTTTCAATGAACAATTACAGTGTATTCAGACAAACCCATCCGAGCACAGTGGCTTATGCCTGTAATTCCAACACTTTGGGAGGTTGAGGCAGGTGCATTACCTGAGGTAAGGAGTTCGAGACCAGCCTGGCCAACATGGTGAAACCCTGTCTCTACTAAAAATACAAAAATTAGCCGGGTGTGGTGGCATACACCTGTGATCCCAGCTTCTTGGGAGGCTGAGGCAGGAGAATTGGCTTGAACCCGGGTGGCAGTGCTTGCAGTGAGCTGAGATGGCGTCAGTGCACTCCAACCTGGATGACAAGAGTAAAACTCTGTTAAAAAAAAAAAAAAACTGGCCAGGCGCGGTGGCTCAAGCCTGTAATCTCAGCACTTTGGGAGGCGGAGGTGGGTGGATCACGAGGTCAAGAGATCGAGACCATCCTGGTCAACATGGTGAAACCCCGTCTCTACTAAAAATACGAAACATTAGCTGGGCATGGTGGCGCGTGCCTGTAATCCCAGCTACTAAGGAGGCTGAGGCAGGAGAATTGCCTGAACCCAGGAGGCGGAGGTTGCGGTGAGCCGAGATTGCGCCATTGCACTCCAGCCTGGGTAACAAGAGCGAAACTCCGTCTCAAAAAAAAAAAAAATTATAGTGTATTCATACTATGGACTGCATTTTGCAGGCAAGAAGAATGAAGTTTTGGAATAGGTAGACATGAAATAATGCTGAAGACACATTAAGGAAACACTGGCGAGTTGTAGGGTAATATATATGATAGAATCTCATTTGACTAAAAAGAAAATAAGTTAAATATGTGTATTTGGCATATATATACACACAGATATGCTCATATATGCGTGAACAAGTCTAGAGCGATGCACACCAAATTTGACTGTTTCTTTTGGATTGAGGGAAGGAGAGAGAACTTTTACTTTGTTTTTTGTTAATTAACTCTAGCCAAAGATAACTTTTACTTTAATATGCCATTTGAATTTTAAAGAAAAATTTACCATCTCTGTAATTAAGTCAAACCAAAAATACCCACTTAATTTTAAAGGGTAGTGGAAATAGTGACCTCAGCAACCATGTTGTCCTCAAGAACTGGAAAAGCTGACAGCCAGGTTGGGTGGATTCAGGAGTGCAGAGAGACACAAGAGCTGGCAACTCATGCTGTTCATTAGTGGGAATTGAGTTGGGGATCACAAGGATTTGAGGATTTGTTCTGCTTTTAGTAAACTATGGATGTGTCTCATGCTTAATGGAAACTGGGCAGAAGAAGCCTATGTTGGATATGTAAAAGCTGATGCCGGTGAGAGGGTTTCCACTTCCCCTAGTATCCTCTCCTGTGATATTGAGGAGGCAGCATCTGAATCACATCCTGGGGTTTCACCCTCTCATATTCGGCTCCTTGGTCCTGGTTACATCTCCAGCATTCTATTCTGCCATCTCTTCTCAATCCTTGTTACACTCACCCAGCTCTTTGGAATTGTAGGGTTTGGCTTTGTCTTCTTGCCTGGGGAAAGATATCCTGATAACCTTCTCTCTCACTGCCTTTGCATCTCACCTTTGTGAGGTATTGCTTCAAATCAGAGTAAACCTGAAGCCCTCTCAGGTATTTACCATCTTATGTGGGCTTCAGAGGACTTGAGCTCTCCCTGCCTACCGTGAAATGAGAAAGTACAATAAATACCCTTTGGGATTCTAGGATCGTAATCTTTGAAAGGACAGTCTGTTGAGAAAGCATGTGTGTTCTGTAGAGTGTCTTATCCACTGCTGAATGAGTGGTACAGTTGTCAAATCCTACTTTCAGCCCATTCCAGAAGCAGGAAGAATGTTATTGAATTACAGTTAATATGCTGGAAGCATAAATTTCAAATTGGTCTTCTGGCAACAATTGGGAATGGTGGTGCTGATAAGGTGTAGGTTTTCTGAATTGCTAAGTAATGTTTACTGTTAGAACCAGTGTACTTGGTTGCATTGTTACTTAAAATATGTGCCAGACCCGGCTGCTGGCGATTGAGGGTTTTGTTTATGCTCACCCTGACTGGAGATAGCATCCAGAGCCTCTGAGTTCTCAGCAGGATTGGGTGCACACACAAAGGACCAGGGCTTTATTTTCAAGTTTTATTTCATTCATTGTTTTTTTTTTTTTTTTTTTTTGAGACAGAGTTTCACTCGTTACCCAGGCTGGAGTGCAATGGCACGATCTCGGCTCACCGCAACCTCCGCCTCCTAGGTTCAGGCAATTCTCCTGCATCAGCCTCCTGAGTAGCTGGGATTACAAGCACGCGCCACCATGCCCAGCTAATTTTTTGTAGTTTTAGTAGAGACGGGTTTTCACCATGTTGACCAGGATGGTCTCGATCTCTTGACCTCATGATCCACCCTCCTCGGCCTCCCAAAGTGTTGGGATTACAGGTCATTCTTTAAAATACTTTTTTTTTCCACAGCTGAAACATAATTTATAGCTTAACATTTACACTGGCTAATCTCTATGATTTTTATTTTTTGAAAAATAAAAACCTCAGGCTCTGGATTATTATTATTTGAGACAGAGTCTTGCTCTGTCACCCAGGCTGGAGTGCAGTGGCGCAATCTCGGCTCACCATAACCTCTGCCTCCCGGGTTCAAAGGATTCTCCTGCCTCAGCCTCCTGAGTAGCTGGGATTACAGGCATGCGCCACCATGCCCCACACCCAGCTAATTTTTGTATTTTTAGTAGAGACAGGGGTTTCACCATGTTGATCAGTCTGGTCTCGATCTCCTGACCTTGTGATCTGCCCTCCTCAGCCTCCCAAAGTGCTGGGATGACAGGTGTGAGCTACCACACCCGGCAGAGGCTCTGAATTTTAAAACTTTCCACAGGAATGTTCAGGATGACAGAGCTTTAAAAATGCAAAAGAAGCCCTTTTTTCAAAGAAATGGAAAGCAAGGAAAGAGGCTTTTAAAAAAAATTGTAACTTCCCACACTACACTGATGTGAATAAACTGTCAGAAGATTTGGGGGGAATTTAATTGACATCTGCCATGGAAGCCTCTCAGTGGGTATTCTTTTCCTTTGATTATGAAGATTGCCAGCCCTGACTTCGGACAAGCGGAAAGGCAGAGTTCTGAAAGGCAGGTAGTGTGGAAGAGGACATGCTAGCCCCAGCAACTACCCAACTCCAGCTGCTTTCCTGCTGGCGGCCTTTCTGTGTGAAAGATGGGGAGATCAGCAGATTATCTTTGAGACCCTTGGGTACTCCTCACCTCATTGCTTCACAGCACTGGAAACTGTCCTGGTTCCTCCAACTGCTGTGTGAGGAAAGGGCACAGTGTGTGAGTTTGTGCGTGTGGCTACAGGAGGGGCCTTGAGGGTATCTTATACCCTTCAGGTGCTAGAGCTACACATCAGTTGTACAGACCAACTGCTCTCGCCTTTTGAATTAAGCAGTGCCTTGGGAGCCCTTCTTTAGATACTGACAATTCCTGTCTGAATATTTCGAGAGATCCTTCCCATAACTCTAGATTCAATATTGAGGGAAAGGGCTGTCACTTATCCAAGCAACTCCTTCTCTGCCACACAGGAAATAGAGAAGATATGGACATTGGAGACCTGAAAGGAGGGAGAAGAGAAAGGAGTGTTCTAGCACTTCTTCATCTTTGCATGGGTGAATTTGCAGCTGAGGACTGGGAACACATCATCATCATCAGGTGGTACACTTGGTCCGTAGCTATGAATATTGGAGAGATAAAATAATGGAAAATAAATCCATGCCTGCTCTTAGAGCTTGTCAAATGGAAGTTGGGATGGAGAAACTTACAGGTGAACATGGTGACCAACAACCTGAAAGAATAATGGCCAAGGCTAGTGGTGGTCTCCAGTCCCCAGTCTCACCTGGAGCCCCAAGAGCTCAGGGGATTTTATCAACTTCTAATACTCAGATAGAATAGCATTTTCCAGTATGGCTTTCCAGATCCTTGAAGAATCCTCATGCTTTTCATAAGTTGCTCAGAGAACTCTGTGCATACAGTGGGCTTCTCTTAATACCTATGAGGTAGGTGAGGGCCAAGCATTCCTCAGCCCAGGTAGGAGAAGGCAAGGGCCTGACTTGGGATGTGAAGTGTTAGTGACTGAGGTGGACAGATCCAAAACCCGAAATGACTGATTTTCCAGCTGCATCACCCACTGTGCAAGCTCAGCGTTGCACAGCGTTCCTCAAGCCACGCGGGTGGCATCTAGCTCGTCAGGAGGCCAGGTGCTGCCCATAGCAGAGATGAGCTCTTGTTTTACTCACAGTGGCCTAAGTTTGAGCCATAGGAGGGAAAATCCAATTAACGTTGGAATGAGGGAGGAAGAGAAAGAGTTTTCTCTCCATTCCTTGTATTCCAAAGCTGGCTTCTGAGGAGGGTGTTGAACTCCTCTCCCGTAAAGCTCCCAGCCATAGGGCCTTACCTCCAAGCAACTCACTGCAGCACAACAGCACCAATCCCCACCCCGTCTCCACCTCTGCTCTGAGGCAGCAGATGGTCTAAAAGTCTCAGGTTTTCTCACAATAGCTCCCACAGTAGTGCTTGTAGGATACCAGATGGGGGCCTGGTGGGCACAGTCGTTGCAGAGCAGACAGGAGCACAGAGAGCATGTTCTAATGCCGGCTGCACATCCATCTGAAGATGCTCTGGCCTCTGATACAGGGACTCTGACAACAGGCCATCCTGTCTGCCAGAGTGAGTGTTGTGAGGAAGTAGCCAATACCTGTACTCTGCCATTGGTTATGGGTAAGCATCGCCTTGATGCTGCAGCCAAGCAAAGCAAAGCCCCTGGTTCAAAGCTTCAGTCTTCTCCTTGACTTTAGCATGAATCCTAAAACTGGCATTGTCCCATCCACAGTCCTCAACTCCATGCAGTCAATGTTAACTTCCTGCTGTCCTGTCAGGACGGGCTGCAACAGGACCACACACAATGGGTATAGAGCTGTGCTTGCTCTTTTTGTTGGAGAATGGTTTCCTTTTGAGGTAGGAATGCAGTTGGGTCCAACCTTGGCTAACTAACACTCAACGTCTTGCAGTTCAATCTCCTCAGTTGCGCTTTCTGTAAAGCAAAGACAAATCAGTGAGTTGGAAATGAAGCCACAAAGTGCTTTCTTGGTGAGAACAAGATAAAACATGCCACCTCTGGCCTCAAAACCACGCACAGATTATCACAAGACTCAGGGAGTTACCTTTGAGTTTGTGTCTTCTCTTCCTCTGAAATTTATACGCACACTTATTACAAACCCACATGAGGCTGATTAATACTGCGGCCACAGCAATGAGAAAAGCAAGGAAGACAGCGACAAAGTGCAGGTCTTCATAGAGGATCTCTACGGAGCGGGGGTGAGGGGAAGCAGAAGACAACGTTTCTTAATATCGTGAAATCGGCCTCCCATACACTCACAGTTTGGAGGGGTACCTGGGCCCTGGGGATGTCTTACCAGAGACGTGCAGCACGATGGTGCCTAACTGGCTGCTCCCCAAGCGCTCCGTCACAGTGATGACATAGTAGCCAGAATCCCTCACTCCCACACTGAAGAGCTGGATGGAGCCGTTGTCAAAGGTGCAGACTCTGTCCTTGTGGCTTTGGGAGATGTTGGCCTGAGTCCCTGGTTTCCACTCCACGATCTTCTGCATTCCCCAGTTGGACGAATACGTCCATTCGATGGTGGGCACCCCATGACAGGAGTACTCAACTGAGAGCAGGATGTCTTCTTCGACGGTGGCATTGATGGTGGCCTGTGGAATGTACAGGGACACGCCCTGACCTGCAGGATAATATGCTAGATGTTGGGCACATATACATGGCTTTACACTGAAGATAACTTCATAAGTTGTTAATCTATTTCACAGATATTTATTGCATGCCTGTTATCTGACAGGCACTGTTCTAGGTTCTGGTGCTGAAGTGATAATGCTGAACAAGACACAAGGCTCCCTAGAGCTTGCATTTTATAAAGGAGAAATACAAGGAATAAATAAGCAAATAAGATAATTTTAGGTAATGGCAAGTGCTTTAAAGATAATAAAAGTGACTGGTGGGATCGGAAGTGTTACACAACATCAGAAAGGATGGCCAGAGAAGACCTCGCAGAGGAAATGACGTCTGAACTGTGATCTAAAAGATGAGGATGGGGAGGAGAAGGATGTCTGCGAAGACACAGGGGGACAGCATTTCAGGCAAAGGAAACAAATGCAAAGCCTGTGTGGGAAGAATGAGCATGGAGGTGTTTGAGGAACAGAACAGCAGCTAGCGTGCTGGATGGCAGAGAACAATGGAGGTTAGGAGATGAGGTTGGAGAGCCGGCTGGGAGCCAAGTCATGATGACAGGTACTGAAGGGGGATGGGAAGCCATGGGAGGGCTTAGACAGGGGGGTGATGTTCCCCATTAATCTGACAATGTCTGCTGGAGTAAGGGAGGTGCTATGGTTTAAATATGCCTCCCAAAATTTATGTGTTGGAAACTAATTTATTTATGTAGGTATGTATTATTACTTTTTTTTTGAGATGGAGTCTCACTCCGTCACCTAGGCTGGAGTGCAATGGTGCGATCTCGGCTTATTGCAACCTCCTCCTCCCGGGTTCAAGTGATTCTCCTGTCTCAGCCTCCCGAATAACTGGGATTACAGGTGTATGCCACCACACCTGGCTAATTTTTGTATTTTTAGTAGAGCCGAGATTTTACTGTGTTGGTCAGGCTGGTCATGACCTCCTGGCCTCAAGTGATCCACCCACCTCAGCCTCCCAAAGTGCTGGGATTACAGGCATGAGCAACCGTGCTGGCCATTTATTTGTTTATTTTTATCAGGCAGCTTCCCAAGCTAGAGTAGGCTCAGAGAACCTCCCCATGTGTTGGAAATTTAATCCCCAATGTAACAAACACTGTTGAGAGTGGGGACCTTTAAGAGGTGATTGGACCAGGTACTGTGGCTCATGCCTGCAATCCCAGCACTTTGGGAGGCTGAGGTGGGTGGATCAGTTGAGGTCAGGAGTTTGAGACCAGCCTGGCCAACATGGTGAAACTCTGTCTCCACTAAAATACAAAAATTAGCTGGGTGTGGTGTTGGGCACCTGTAATCCCAGCTACTTGGGAGGCTGAGGCAGGAGAATCACTTGAACCCAGGAGGTGGAGTTTGTAGTGAGCCCAGATCACACCACTGCACTCCAGTGTGGGTGACAGTGAGACTCCATGTCAAAAAAAAAAAAATAGGTGATTAGGTCATGAAGGCACTGTCCTCCTGAATGGATTAATACAATTATCATGGGAGTGCGTTCTTGATAAAAGGATGAGTTCAGCCCCCTTCCCTCTCTCTCTCAAACATGCTCTTGCCCTTCCACCTTCTGCCATGGGATGTTGCAGCAGGAAGGCCTTTGCCAGCTGCTGGCCCTTGATCTTGCACTTCCCAACCTCCAGAACCATGAGCCAAATAGACTTCTGTTCCTTTAGGTTACCCAGTGTCAAGTATTCTGTTGTAGCAGTACAAAACAAGACTAAGACAGAGGCAAGAGTGGAAGCAAGAGGAGCAGTCAGGTGGCTGCCGCAGGAGGTTAGACAAGAGACGATCTGGCTGCCTTGGTGATTAACGTCAAGCAGTCTGATTTAGGATACACATTTGGAAGTAGAGAGGACAGAACATGCAGACCAACTGGATGTGGAGGTAGGTGAAGCAAAGCGGCATCACACAGGGATGTGTATCCTAAATCAGACTGCTCTACAGTGATCTCCAGGCCTTTCTTCCTGCAGTGATTTCTGCTGAGTACATGGATGAATAATAGTGACATTCACTGAGATTATATATATATGTTGTTGTACATGTGCTGAGTAGCTCCCATGCACCAGGCCTGGTGCTACCTGCTTTATCTTAATCATCTCATGAAAGCCTCACACAACCCATGGTTATTCTGTCAAGGATTTACAAATAAGAAACCTCAGGCTCAACAGATATGAAAGGCTTGTCCAGGTTCACTCTGCAGGAATGAGATTCACACAAGGGCTGCTGATTCCAAAGCGCAGACGTTTAACCTATTTGCTCAAGTCAAAGGTCAGTGGCTGCCAGTGAAGGGCACAGGATGTGACAAATGCCCATGCACACTGAAAGGGGAGGTCAGGGCTGGTTGGAGACTAGATAGCAAATACGGTAGGATATGAGCTTGAAGCCCATCCCTTGATTTCCACCTAAACTTCTGGTTTAGCTCTTTCATTCTTTGGATGCCCAGTTTCCCTGGGTTCCCTGTTGGGTGGCTCCAGGTGGCCACACCAGTCACTTTTCCAGGAATTTTTCACTGTCCTTTCCCATCCCATTTGTGTTTCTTTTCTAAGGCCTGGCTAGGTGACAAGATAATCTAGTAAAAGAAAAGTTGAGAAGTCATAATGGTTTTCAAGAGTTATAGCTGCTAAGAAACATAATTTTTTTCTCTGTAAACTTTGTATTTTTAAAAATGTTAAAGAAAAATTAAAAGTCAAGTACAATTAACATCTATATACCTTTTCCTACATTCACCATTCTTAATGACTTCCCACATTTGCTTTCTTTCTCTCTCTCCCCCACCCTCCACACACAAGTACTTATTTAGCAAAATATTTTTAGGCTGGGTGCAGTGGCTCACTCCTGTAATCCCAGCACTTTGGGAGGTAGGAGAATTTCTTGAGTCCCAGAGTGAGCTAGGTATTGTGGCACATGCCTGTAGTCCCAACTACTTGGGAGGCTGAGATGGGAGGATCACTTGATCCCAGGAGGTTGAATCTGCAGTAAGCTGTGATCATGACATTGCACTTGAGCCTGAGAGTGAGATCCTGTCTCAGAAAATAAAAACCTTCTTTAAACTAAAAAAAATTTTTTCCTTTCTTCCTTCTCCTTCCTTCCCTTCTCTCCTCTCTCCTCCTCTTCCTTCACCTCCCTTCCCCCCCTTCCCTCCACTTCCCTCCCTTTCCCCTCTCTATCCCTCCCCTCCCCTCCCTTTCTCTCCCCTCTCCTTTCCTCCTCTCCCCTCCTTCCACTCTCCTCTCTCTTCTTTTTTTCTTTTCTTTTCTTCTTTGAGATGGGGATCTTACTATGTTACCTGGCTGGTCTCCAACTCCCAGCCTCAAGCAACCTTCCTGCCTCAGCCTCCTGAGAAGCTGAGATTACAGGCTTTGGCCACCACTCTTGGCTTAAAAATTTTTTCTTTCGGCCGTGTGTGGTGGCTCATGCCTGTAATCCTAGCACTTTGGCAGTCTAAGACAGGTGAATCACAAGGTCAGGAGTTCGAGACCAGGCTGGCCAACATGGTGAAACCCTGTCTATACTAAAAATACAAAAAAAAGTTAGCTGAGCATGGTGGCACGTGCCTGTAATGCCAGCTACTCAGGAGGCTGAGGCAGGAGAACTGCTTGAACCTAGGAGGTAGAGATTGCAGCGAGCTGAGATTGTGCCACTGCACTCTAGCCCAGGCAACAGAGTGAGACTCCATCTCCAAAAAAAAAAAAAAAAAAAATTTTTTTTAAATTTTACTGAACCATCTTTGTATTTTTGCTGCAAGATGTTGCAGACATCTTGATACTTCACCTAAGAACAAGCCATTCTCCTACATGACCACATTATCTACCCAAGAAATATAACATTGAGATGCAAATATTTTCTGATATATAGTATATATTCAAATTTCTCTAATTTTTCACAAAATTACTTTTCTAACTGCTTTTCAATTTTAATTCATGATCTAATCAAGAATTGCCCACTGCATTTGGTTATCATTATTAATCTCCTTCAGTTTAGTAAAATTTTTCCACTTCTTTTTTGGATTTCATGACGTTAACATTTTATAGAGTTCAGGTCAGTTGTCTTGGAGAATGCACCACAGTCCGATTTGTTCAGAAGAAAGGTAAAAATACTGCAAAGGTGATATTTTAATATTGCATCACTCCAGAAGACAAATATTGTGGGTTTGCCCCATTGCTCGGAAAGCTAAGTTTGATCACTGGAATGATGTCTGACAGGTCTCTCATTGGCAACGGCCTCTTTTCCTTTGTCATTGATAAGCCATCTGTGACACTATGTGATTAACCTGTCATCTAACAGCTGTGCACACACAGATCTTAGCATCCACTAATGAGCTTCACTTATGTTATTTCATAGATAGCTTCAAAATAATTTTCAATGCTATCATTTCTCCAGAATTTATTGGCTGGCATTCCTCTGTGAAGAAAAGCTCTTTCTCTGGGCATCTCTCCCCTTCTTTTTTTTTGAGACGGAATCTTGCTCTGTTGCTTAGACTGGAGCGCAATTACAGGTATTAGTCACTGCGCTCAGCCTCCTCTTCTTTTTTTCTTAGTGTCTCTATAGACTAGTGGATTCTTTTTAACATGAAATACTCCATTATAATCATGATAATTTTTTCTGCTGAGTTATCCTAGATTTGGACAATGGGAGCCTCTTCGGGTCATTTGTGTGTATTTGAAATGTCCTCAGTTGTCTGCGCAAGGTGGCTCATAAAGTGCTGTAATCCCAGCACTTTGGGAGGCCAAGGTGGGAGGATCACTTGTGGCCAGTTCAAGACCAGACTGGCAACATAGTGAGACCTTGTCTCTATTAAAAAATAAGAAAATTTCGCCAGCCATGGTGGCATGCACCTGTCATCCATCATCCCAGCTACTCTGGAGGTTGAGGTGGGAGGGTTACTTGAGCCCAGGAGATCCAGGCTCTAGTGAGCTGTGGTTGCACCACTGCATTCCAGCCTGAGTGGCAGAGTGAGAGACCCTGTCTCAAAAAAAAAAAAAAAAAAAAAAAA